GTCACAGCCCCTCGTTTGTTGTCCTCTTCTCTCTCTCTGCCTACGGTTTACCGGGCAGTTCTGTTTGTGACGATATATATATATATATATATTTGTAACGTATTCTCTTTTGTCAATTTTAATGAAATATGATGTGTTTGTTTGGGAAAAAAAAGATTTGTGACGTATTCACCTCTGGCAGTGGATCGCTCTAACCGGAATTCTTTCTTTTAAAAAAAAAAAAAAAAAAAAAAAAATATTCCCCCCCCCCCCCAAAAAAAAAAAAAAAAAAAAAACAACTAACATATGATAAGAAATAACTGAAGTGATGTTTCTATTGTTTAATCGAAAAAAAAAAGAAGACCAATTTTCATCAGAAGGATGCCTTGCGTAGGAGTCGAGGGAATCAGAAGAAGTGTTCAAAAAAAAAGATCTTTCTATTGTTTAATCGAAAAAAGAAAACACTTTTTCTGATTCCCTTGACTCCTACGCAAGGCATCCTTCTGATGAAAACTGGTCTTCTTTTCTTTTTTCGATTAAACAATAGAAATATCTTTTTTTTTTTTTTTGAACACTTTTTTTCTGATTCCCGTGACTCCTACGCAAGGCATCCTTCTGATGAAAATTGGTCTTCTTTTTTTTTTCGATTAAACAATAGAAATATCTTTTTTTTTTTTTAACACTTTTTCTGATTCCCTTGACTCCTACGCAAGGCATCCTTCTGATGAAAATTGTTTTTTTTTTTTTTTCTATTAAATAATAGTAAATATCACTCATTTCTTTGGGGTAACTTCAGTAGAGTCACAAAAGCGTGTTATAAATGCACTATGGGGCAACATACAGTTTGCATTTACACTTCGGGCACCCTACCTGGCCAGAAAGCTGGGTTGTATACATTGCCCCGACTGCAATATGAAACTGTATCTTGGCCCATAGTGCCATTGTCACTCATTTTTGTGACTCCCCTGTAGTCTCCCCTTTTCTTCCCCCCCCCTCCAAACCCCATCTCTCTTCTTTGCCTCCCGGAATGAAGCCAAGACTTTTTTTATTTATTTTTATTTATTTTATTTTTTGAAGGACAGACCCAGTCAAGCCCTGCCAAAAAGTATTCTCAACTCGAAAGGATTTTTTTTTTTTTTTTTTTTTTTTGCGAAAGGAATTTTCCGTCTGTCCAATTGAGCGTTTCTTGCCGTCGTTTTGTTTATATTTATTTTATAACATTGTCCTATTTAAATTTATATAATGAACGGTCAGAAAAGCTTAGTGCCCGCTGATGGAATAGTGCACCTGGGGCACTACCGTCTTCCCCCGAACACAACACACCCTGACTATGGCTGTACCGAACCACAAATATAGTCTTGTATACATTCATTTTCAGGGTTCAAGCAGTGGACAATGATTCCACGACTTTGTCACATTTCTCAATGCCAGGACACAATAACGATCATAACAACAGCTTTGGCCAAGGAGGGTAGCGAAGTGGATTGAATTGCAGGATTGAAGAGCTTTTCTGCATCTCTTTATAAAACGCTTCCAGGTTCATTGAGCTTAATGCAATCCTCTTTGCTAGTGGGGGCCAGGTCTCACTAGCAGAGAGGCTTGGATTGAAGTTTGTTGACGGGTGCAGAAAATAGCGATCGATCTGCTATTCTGAATCTGGGCGTAAAACGCATCAAGATTCCTGGAACCCGTTCAACTTTGCATAGTACCCAACTATTTGCCTGTGTTAAATTGACAGGTGCAGCAAATGT